ACGACTACGACTACGACTACGACTACGACTACGACTACGACTACGACGACTACTACTACTACTACTACGACAACTACAACTACAACAACAACAACAACAACTACTACTACTAGTTCTCTGTTGCAAGTCGTTGCTTTGCCCTTTGCCCAGGACTTTTCAGCTGTTTTCAACTAATGTTAACCTACCATTAATGAACCATGTGTCAATCATAAAGAGCTTTTTGGCCTGCCAGGATTTTGCAATACTACTTTTAATTGGTCCTTGCCTTGTGCTTTCCATTTTGCTTTTAAGTTTTCCTATTTTCTTATTGTCTTCTTCTTTTGTGGAATCTTTATTTGTAATCTTCGACAGTCTACCATCAGATTTCCAAAAACATTGGCTAGCCAAAAGCTTTAGGTGTCCTTATTCAAACCCTATCAAACAAATACAAAAACTATCTGCAATTATGAACAAACCTACAGCAATCAACCCCCCCTGCAGCCCTGCTGGCTTATCCTTGCCTTGTGTTTTCCCTTTTATTTTTTGTTTTAAAAGCAACATGAAATCAAATGAAAGACCTTCTGCCAAATCCCCTCTGCCAAATGACCAAAATCTAGAACATATTTATTCATAGGGGGATTACTAATGAGAGGTTAACATTAGTTATTTTGTTTGGACGGTTTGGTTCAGTTTCCTCCTTCACGGAACTGGATAGAAGGAGTACTGCAGGAGTACCGCTCGTGTTGGTGACCATCAGTTGTCAGATGACCATTAGTTCCGAAGTATATAGGTTCGACGTAAAGGATTCCCGCGAAAAATTGATGATTTGAAGGATTCCCGGCCGACACCTGGTCGAAAATTCGCTGCTCCCCACTAAACTATCCCTAGCTGGAGGTTGACTGGTCGTAGCTCGATGTTCATGTGATCTTGGACCTATTTATATATGGTCCATTTGGCGCCTGCCTTTCAATTGTCTACACACCCGTGACCCAGGAGATTTTGGTGAAGATCATCGCGTTGGACCTTCGATTTGTCTATGATCCTTGGAACATCCTTGCTCCTGGGCTGGAAGAAGAGGACACGAAAAAATAGAACACCCGCCTCCTCCTGGATCTGCATTTGGTTTAGCCGCTCTTGATCCTTTCCCTTCCCATGGATCCGAACTGAGCACAGACCCGGCAGACTCCCCAGGATGAGCCGCCCTATACAATCGTTTCACCAGAGTTGATGACAGGGAGTTCCTGAAAAGACTCATGGGGTTGCCCACCCCACCGTTGGACCGGCCTGTGTGCTCTTTTGTGCAAGTAGTGCGGCGTTCACCATGGCATGCAACAGTTGGATATTCAAATTTGGATCGGCAACGAACTGGTAGCGAAAAAGAATGAACACGAATACCTTTTGACAGGCCTGTTTTTTCAGACGGAGCTTTCGCCGCTTTTGCCAAGGACTTTCTGATTGTCCTGGCATGGTTTGTCGACACCATCTCGCAGCTTAGTTCTCAACTGTGACATGTGTTTATATATATATAGCTCTTGAATGCTCTTGATTCTATGACCCTTCGGAGAATTGATGTGCATTCTCAAACCATTGCATCCAAGTTAAACCGCTCATGTTCCATGAACATGTTCCATCTTGCCAATTTCTCGTTCGAACCACGTGAGATTTCAAGGACATCGTCTGGTGTCTCAAATCCGGCATGGAAGATCTGGCCGTCTTGTGTCTTTTCCAAGGCAAGGTTTGCTGCCTTTGGACCCGTTACTGCTGCGGCTCTTGAGACTCATGAAGCTGCCCCTAGGCTTTGCTAGGCGCTCATCGCACCTTTAAATTAGTGACCGTAGCTTCATGAGAGCTGCATGTGTTGTTCTCGCACCTTCGGGGGCAGCAGTGTTCCAGCACAGAGTTTGTGGCTGGTAGCTGTGTTGCAATGTGTTTCCCAGAACTGGGAGATGAGTGAAGAGAATATGTTTATCACATTTTCTGATGCGAATCAAGCATGCCAAAAGCCGACAAAAGGTATGTGTTGGTTTGTAATGTTTCGATATATGACCACTAAGACTTTTTACACCGAATAATATGGGCTGTGACATTACCGGACTCCAACTCCTCACGCTATTACCACAAATCGTTTTTTTTTTTTAACACTAACATTTAAGACATATGGGTCTCCCAATTGACGTCGTCAAATGTACGCGGTTCACAAAGGATGGTGAGACATGGGAAAGTCCTCCATTCTGCCTAAGAAAGTCCTGCATGTGTCTGTGTAAGCTAAAAGTTTGATAATACATGATCATACATGATTGGCGTATTCTCAGGCTTACCAAGGTTGCAGAATCTTCATGAGTCTTCACCCATTTTTGACAAGGCTTCAAACAAAGATGGATCTGGGAATGGCCCCCCCAGACTTTTCAAACCTGTTTTTCAGACACCTTCAGCCGCCATGTGCGGCCAACAGCCGGACCAAGACGAACGAAACGGCCATGTCGGAGACCACGGATGGAGAAAAGAAACGTCCAGCTCAATGGATCCCAGTCCCGATCCCAATCGAACATCGGACTTTGGGACCTTCATGGCTATTGGGTTAATACCAGAAAGCTCGGATTGAACAGGACAGCAAAACATGGGGAGGTCAAGCTCTTTCAGATCTACCAGGTTTTGGGGCTCGAGGTTTGGATCAGCGGACCTATTTGTCATCTACTCCGAAGGTGTACCTGCCTCCTCCTCCTCCTCCTCGTATCCAATGTGTGTGAAGCTTTAGCGTCCTCAGGAGGGACGGATTTTGCCATATCCGAGGTTCCGTATGCTGCGACTGGTGAGGAGCCGGCCATGGTGAATCGCCATGGGGCCAGTTGTAGTTCGGGAGTTCAGTGGAAAAAAGGTCAATCTGAAGCAACTTTTGCACAGCCAACTTGGCATACCCATACACTAGAGTTAACATTCGTACCTAGTTAACTAGAGTTGGGTGAGTAGTGTAGGTCAGTGCATGTTTGGAATAGCTGCATGTTTGTGTCTAGGCCTCTTCATCCAATCATAGAGACTTCACGCGATCGAAGGCGAAATCAGAACCGAACGGATCCGTTTTGGGCGAATGGATCCAGCCCAAAACGTCCACCATTCACACAGACCCAAAACCGCTCTGTAGGGTGCAGCCTGTGTATTGAGCCAACCACCAATGTTTAAGAAAAAAGGTGCTGAGACCAATGAGTTTTGGGCTTCATAGCCTTGCACTGGTATTCTAATTGGTAAGGACATGGCGGTCGTAGCCCGTTGGTAAACACCAGCGCAGCAAGTAGCCGCGCGAACAATTTGGTCTATGCATGTTTAGGAGCTTGCAGGTGCCTGGGGTGTGTTTTGATGTTTGAGTCATTTTATTAGCATGGTGGTTTACAGGATACAACAATCCTCTCCCAATCCTGCTCCAAGCTGTATGGCAGGACCATCCAGGGCTTCGACTCTTTGTATGTTGGGCTCTGAGCAGTTCGGAGTTGGGTTGAAGAGTATCAAGGATGAGATGGTGCTAGGACATGATTCGTGTGGTTTGAGATCTTTACAATCCAGGATTAAGACAGCTACTTTGTTTGTTTGTTTCAATTTTGAGATCTAGCCAAACCGCTTCTGATAGGAACCTTCATCGCGCCCATGAACTGAAGATCTACTGTACATGAGTGATTTTTCTGCCATGGCCAGTTTTTTTTCTTCGCCAAACATCTCTCACTTGGAGAACAGCTGATGTTTACATATGTTTACCATCGCTGGATTCAAATCGCAACACTGGAAATCAGGCTTTACAACCTCCGTATGGTTTTTGTGGTCCCCTTGTTGGTCCAAATCGGTGTTGGCTGAGGGGCGAGTGCAGAAATCAACAGGGTCCCAAGAAAGTTGAGGGCGCCCAAGATTAGATGGGATTTTCTATACAAGTACTGCAGCTTGTGTCCTATGAGTCCTATGTTTTTGACTCCACAGTATCCAAGTCTTTGGTAGCTTGATGATGCGCTCTCATGTTCGACATGGTATGGCTACGAACATCGTACCGTACACGTGGAGAGGGCATGTTCCATGATATTAAACATACACAAACATCATACATGTAACAAGGAACATGCAGATAGCTGTAACTTGGGCTGCAACACACTCACCCATGATCCACTGACATCATCCGCAACTGTTGTCATCCAAATTCCATATCTTCGCCCACCCAGTCACTCACTGAACCTCACTGCCCTGCAGCGCTTTCCGCTTTCTGCCGATCACGGCCGGGTCGCTGCAGGTGATGATTACGGCCATCCGCGGCAGCGTGGCCGCGCTCTTCTGGAGCACCATGCTTTTGGTTCTGGTCCTCACCACGGTCTCCCTCTTCCTTCAGTTGCTTGGAGTGGAAGGTATCAGGTCCGGAGACTCACCACCCAGACGGACCGTCGAATGGATGGATCCTTTGGAAGATGATGAGATCATTTAGCACCCAGAGATTTTCAGGGTCCATGTTAATCAACAGGAGGGTAGATCTTTAAGGATCTGGAAGGTTGGTAGAGTTTGGCCGCACATGTGCCACCAGTCTCCTAGCCGCTTGCTTGGCTGCGTGGAAATCAGGATCTTTATCATTGATATAATGAGGAGTGTTTCTCCGACTGGACAGAAGAAAACAAGATCCCGAATCACCATGATCACTATGATCACCCCAGGTCTTGGGTATTTTCTGGGTCGAGGAGATTCGAGGTGCATTGTGCGAAATGTGAATCGTGGAAGTGCTTCACTCGGGGCGGTTCCAAAAGATTTCAAGCCATCCAGAGATTGTTTACGGACACTAGCTAGCTATACCGTTGGAGGGTTTTCGAGCGTGGCTCCAAAGGGGAAGCCTATGGAAGCCTAATAGTAGAGAGACATTCATATGTTTGTGACGGTTCAGGTTGTAAGTTCAAGTAAGTCCACCAAGGTTCTTACAACTGCTAATTAGAGACTTGTTCCTGTGCAGCTTTGATCACCTTTGTATACAGGTGAAAAGGGTCTCAATTCAGAGCCTTATGACAACATCAAGACGCATCTAACTTAGCTCCTGCTAGTGCTGTTCTTCTTCCTTTTACGGTTGTTAAATTGAAGACAAGGCACAGCGTTGCACCGTCAAATGCAAGGGATTGCAGGCAATGATGTGACTCTGAAGTGAAAAATGCAGTGGAAGTTAATACGTGACTACTGTGTATAGAACGGTTGTTTGTACTTTGTTCAATCTGGTTGAACCTTTGCCTCCTCCTGACACTTCCCGAGACATCTCTAAGACATGACACACACAATATATACGTGAAAAAAATAAACAGACAAAGACAAAAAGACACAGTGGTACAATGTGAGCAGGAAGTGCTTCATTCCAAAGGCATGATATGTTTCTTTCTTCAACTTTGTAATTATCTAATACAATAGAATGCAATGGAAGATTCAGATACGGATTCCGCCCACAAAACTCTGATTTGATTGCCTCTGGTTCACTGGACAAAAAGTGTTGAGCCACAAGGGCACAGCAACTTTACATGGTCACCATTCGATTTGTTTTTCCTTTTTTCAATCCTTTTTACTTTTCAATTGGCGTTCCAGTCTCTCAGCCGAGATTGTCCATGTCGGCTGAACAAAAATGATCCAGACTTTGCGACATGAGGACCATGCTGGAATATTATATCACTGGCAGTGAAGAGGAATTCCGACGGCTCGAGGTCTATCACTACTTCGGTGTCTTGGAAAGAATTTTGGCGCTGACCATATGTCATATGTGTGATATGTTGGACGTCCCATCCATATCATATCATACCAATTCATAATATCACATCATATCACAACAACATGTAATTTATATTTATATTCTACGTATTATAATTACTGTATGTATAATTACATGCATATGGTACTATAATGACTCTTACTTGCTTGAACTGTGCATGGCCGCTTGCTAAAACCAGCGGTTCAGCGCATGTTGCAGGTACCTTCAGCCGCTCGATGGTGTCCCTCTGCGAGATGACCTTGGCCAATTGGCCTACACCTTCACGCGTGCTCACCGAGCTCCTCGGTGCGTTCGGCCGCCCGTTTAGTGTCGCTCCTCGGTGTCGCCCGTCTTGATCGATGTATATCACTTGCTGTTGAATCTAGCAGCGACACAAGAGCCAAGAGAGCCAAGGGAGCCAAAAGAGCCAAGCCACTTGCTGATGCCAACTCGAACTGGTTCACAACTTTCTGTGGGTCACAGAGGTTTACTGCGAGGTGCCCACAAGGGTGGCAGAGTCATGGCGCTTTGTATCCTTCACCTGCAAAGCCCTTTGTGCTTTGGATGACATGAATCGATGGAATTGAAGTGGATTGAAGGGCTATACTCCAAATCACCCTCAAAAATCCACTTGGCGCCTTGGAATCATTTGGAATTGATCTGCCAAGCACATCTACCATTTGACAGCTGTCCTGGCTGAGGAACGTGAGCGAAGTTTGGATCTTCTTCGTTCTCAGCTTCCAGCTGCTCGGGATGTGAGATGGCGGAATCAAAGATTGACTCCCCCACAGCAAAGGAAAGACCTGAGATATTCTTAGAGGTGTATGGTTGAGATGTCATCATGCTGAACGTCCTAGAACAGTGAAGCACAATCAGGGTGATACAGTTCCAGAATATGCAACCCTGGTCTACTTTCTGGCATTCTTCTAGACTGTCCAATGTTCAAGTTGTGTTTGCCAAGTCATACAGTGGCACTATATAGTGGTCAACCAAAGCTTCGAACAAGAACGCAAGGGATCCACGGCGCATTGCCGCAACTAGTCCTGCATCAATTCCATATTCTGTTTGAGGCTTGGCGTCATTCATAAAGTCTTAGATTGGGACTAACAAGTCACTGTGACACGCCTGACAACCAGCATAGAACTTGAGCATGCACCACAAGTCTTGTTTCCTGCATCAACCGTCAACCGTTGTTTGTTCGGTTCCATGACTGTTCCATGTTAGTCTTCAAGTGTAGGTCTCAAATTAACTTGATTTGGGGCGCTGTGTGTGGCCTTGCTTTGTGTGTGTGGCCAACCCCGCGGGATGTTCGCAGCAAACTGATCAGGCTGTTGGTGGGCTTTTCTGTGACCTAGCAGCACACGAAGCATCCGATCGGCGTACGGGGTGAAATTCTTTGACCGAAGAGATCTGATCGGTGACGGAAGGACAAGTCTATCATGGGTTCTTAATGGTTCTTACTAGTCACACAGATGAACATAATATAGTATAAGTGTTGATATGCTTTAATGGTTTAATATTATGTTTTAATATACTGTAAATACAACACAATCCTGTCCATGTCACCTTGAATTCCCAGAGGTGGGCACGGTGTGGTCGTGTGGTTTGGAATTTGAAGGCCAACGGATCCATTTCCATGGGTGAATTGCTTGGATGTCGTTGATGCCTACAGTTTGGACCACCGGATGCTCCACCACGATGGGCGTTCCCCAATCTCACAGCCACCACCCTGCCCACCACGGAGAAGTGGATGGAGCTTGACCCCGATTCGATACGCTAACATGTTGAGAAGGTGGGACTGGGCTCGGTGCCAGGAGGGTCCAGTTATACCTTCCGAGAAGGTACGACTGGAGCGCTAGGGCAATATGTCCTTATAGAACCTCCAGTTGACCATCCCCATGAGTGAAACCGAACACCCGATGCCGCGATTGAAGATGAGTGATTCTGCAAACCATATGTGTGATTCTGCCATCATGTTCTTAAAAAGTGGAATTGTAGGTGCAATTAGGATGACCCTTTTTGAATCTTAAATGCTTTCAGGTTCTAGTCAAAGCTTCGATGACCCGTGCAGGTCATGAAGGTGATCATGGGTGTTTTCCTGCAGAACACGTTCAACGTGGCCAGCAATGACGACGTCATCATGATGAGCCAGAAAGAGAGGCGAAATCTGCGGAATCTGGGGACATATCAAACTGACTCAAGTATACTCAAGTCAAAGCCTCACCATCACCACATTCTATCATTTTCCCATCTCTCCCCAACTCTCTCTCTCTCTCTCTCGCCATCCCTCTCTTTCCGTGCTCGTGCGTTTGAATCAAGCAACAACCACAACGGATGTACAATGATGTACTGTAATAAGGGCGTGAAATACAATATCATCCACTGGGTGTCTATCGTTTCTACTGAAGGAGTGCTGGAAACTCTGGAAGTGGAGTACGCCCAAAGGGAGGACATGACGCCAACATGGTGTTGAGGTGAAGCATCACGAACCGTTCATGCTTCGCGTTCCTCACCTTCGCATCGGCGTGATCCAGAACCGTCCCCCACGGTGTTTGGACAGCCGTCTAAGCCTGGGTGTTTTGCCTTTGTGGCACAGATTCATTCGTTCTCCCCACGGGCGGCGGGGAGAACCGTCATCACAAGCTGCCAGGGCAGTGAAGGTCCACACCAAGAAGATGGAGGCAGGAAGCTGGCAATGTACATTCGACAGGTAGAAGATGGATGAAGATGGTGGAAGTGGATGGGGATTCTCTGACAAGAGACGGAGGTTGTTTTTTTACAGATAGGCAAGTCGGAGGCTTGGAATGTTGCGGAAGATCATGGAGGTTTGCCCATTTGGCCTTCATTGTGACCTGAAATCTTGTCCCCACCATGAAAGCGTTGGGTTTTTTTGCCATGGAATCGGTTTGAGCATCGCATTGCTGGTGAAGACACCTCCAACATAGATTTAATTTCTTAAGTCCTCCCGGAGTTGAACCCCCATGAGTTCTGGGAGTCCAGAAGAAATGCAGGTGTTCAAGTTCTCCGGCGATGACAGACTATTCCAGGAATGGGTAGCCTCTATTTATACTGGGGTTTATAATGGGTAGCCTCTACGGCGAGACCGGAGACCCGCAACTGACCCACCAGTAGGCTTTGGGGGGTCCAACGTCCCGGAACGAATTATTCGTTGGTCGGAGGTCGAGACCTATTAGAGCTACACACTCATTGGGATGACACACTGTGTGGGCCCGTGGGCCCAGTAAGTCTAAGTATGTGCAAAGGATATCCCTGGCACTCTCTGTGTGTGTGTTTGGACTCTCAGATCGACCTCTTTTGGAACCAACAAATGGTCGTTCCTCATGTCGCAGTCGGAAGTCCACCTTCGAGACGTCGGTCATCGTCGGTCAGTATTCGAGAGATGGACATGCCGAAAGGCTGCAAGCTAACCATCATCCACTTTTTTGCGCAGGGAATGGGATATGATATATCTACTACTCGTACTAAGCATCATCATCTATTGGGTTCCGGGAATGGGATATACCGTATATACCCAAGAGATGGAGATATATAAACCCTTTGAAGATGGCTTGATCCCGTCCCACTGGTCATCTTGTGATCCAACTCCTCCAAGCCAGACCTTCCGTGGGATTGGCAATGAAGGAATGGAACACGTATGGCATGCTTCTTGGAGGTTCCCTGCCAGCTCCTGTGACACCAAAGATGTTGAAGATTTCATCTCCCCACCCATTTGGATATATAAGCTTCCATTACGAGGGGGTCAGCGCTTTTCAAAAGGTGCCATGCATGTTCCATGCCGCATCCGAGTGCTCGATGACGTTCTGCAGCGCATGCACAACGCCCTGCGTCATGAGTGCCAAATGGATCGAGTTGCATTCGGGCGTTCTTGGATGGCAGTTTTACTTCAGTGGAGCTTACCATGAGCTTCTCCAGCTTGGATTCCGGAAGAGAACCCAAAGCTTCCAACTCCAGAATCTCCAGGATGGATCCAAAAATGTTCCTTTACCATGCACAATCTATTGCATCTGACGAACACGTTGGCCTTGAAAAAGCACGAAGCTTGCAGCATGTAGAACTATTTTGCATGGCATGCAATGGTGTTTTGCTCCTGGACTTAACGCTGAAATAACAGGACATTGCAGTCTCCACATCTCCTTTGTTGTGAGTGACCTGCACATTGAACTTCTGGGAAAAGCTCAAGAAAGCTGTCAGCTATCCTCGAGCACAAGCATTAAGAGCGAGCGCTGCTTTCGTGCTTTACGGGCCTGCATGTTCACTGAGCAAAATTCAAGGTCAAACGGCCTGGTTGGCGGCAGGGATGAGCCCCATGGCCACCCATGGCCACCCACGACTGTCCACTCAAAACCTAATTATATATATATATATTACTTCGCTCCATTCGTTCCTGCCCACTCAAAACCTTCTGAACTACGAGAAGGTCATGACCACACCTTGTTTAGCCATGCTGGTTCTCGGCACGGTCCAGAGCGGGAGAACACTCACCCGCATGTTTCGGAGCTGTGTTTGCTATGTAAGGGAAGAACATCCCAGCAAGACGTGTCAGGGCCGCCCCTTGAATTCCAGATGCCAGAATTCCGTTGAATTCCTTTTTTTTTCTTAGTTACATGTGTTCAGACTGCAGACTTGGTGCCTTTTAGAACCCTTGGATAGAAACCCGAAAAAGCAGCCATCCGAACCGAACCTCTTCGACTGCTCGTCGATCCAACGTGGTCGACCGTGGCCAGGCGCTCTTCGACGCCGCGGACGAGAACGGCAACGGCCGGCTCGACGAGGCGCGCTCCGCGGTCGTCGGCCGCCACATCCGTCGCAGGGCGATCGTCGACCACGTTGGACGAAAAGTCAAATACTTTGGAAACACAACCCAAAGTTAAAAGGGAATTCAAAGCAATACTTAAAACAACCCAAGTAATCCCAAGTATACCTGAAAGCATGCAACAGACAGGTCTCAACGCAACTGCTGATTTGTTGGAGACTTGTATCCTAGATGTTCCTTAGAAGACTGTTGTTTCTGGAGAAGAATCCAGCCGAAGAATTATAATAAAGGGTTTTTGATGGGATGATGATCGAATCTTCTGTGAGGATAGGGGTGCTCGTGGGAGGGATGACAATGGGCTCTCATATGCTCATTGGGAAACATTGAAGATCATTGGAAAACATTTATTTTTATAGATTATTTTTTTCAATGTTTTTCAATGTTGAGACTGATACTTGGCCTCCTAGGGTCTCATCTGACTGTGATGGTGATTAAAGAGGGTTGAGTAAGAAAGAAACAGTAAAGAAAGAGAGAGGTTTCACCTTTGTAATCTTGTGGCCTGGGTGCTGGTTCAGGGTCTGTCGCTGAAGACATACCTCACCTCAAGCTACCTTCAGGTGCATGTGCACAGGAGCCAGGGGAGGTTAGTGCCTCACTGATCGCCAAACTCAGGCCAATCATTGAGACCCTCCCAGAAAAGACTGTATATGGTGCCAGCAAGAAGTGAGAAAAGAACAGTTGTGGGTGCTCCTGTTTGATGCCAGTTTTGTGCAATCTCTCCAGCTATTTTTTCTATGTGTTTTAATGTTTTTTAATTGTTTTCTATGAATCTCTATGAAAACAAATATATATATATATATTTTTCTTAATGACCTACACAACAGTGGAAATGGTTGAATAGTATCCCTCTGATTGGACTCCCTAGTGCCATGAATGATCGAAGATCGATGGGCTCGCTTTGCGCCGCTCATCGATGCTGGTGATGAGATGGGCTTGGCTTGCACCAAGTTCTCATGTTCATAACAAAAACACTAGTTAGTAGCAAGAATGCTCCTAGTAGCGATGTCAGGAGCTCCTAGTAGCTTCTTGTTACGAGTAGTAAGGCCAGGAGCGCCCCTAAAGTAGCGTTGCCGGAGTGCCGGACGGAGTGAAAGAGATTTGTTCAGAGGTTTCATGGCAAACAAAAAACTAAATGTAGCATAGCATCAACAGATATGTTAGATTATGTTAGCCAATGCCGGTCCGAATTATTCAACCATATTCAACCTCGAGGTGCAGTGGCTATGCCATCATAGTGGCTTCAAAAACATGCGTACTTGTTCAGTGACTTTCCACTACAGCCTTTGACCTTAGGGCTGGGGCTGCCATACTTTCCAGTGGGTCCAGGTCCAGCTTCGGCAAATCATGCGTTCAAGTTTGCCCCAGAAGGTATCCATCACAGAATGGAGTGGTCGGTTTTTGGGATCACAAACTAGGCGACGTCAAGCAGACTCGAAGGCAATGGATGCCTTATCCAACTCTTTACATTCGGAACATGGTCGAGTCCAGCGCCAGGTTTGAACTCTTCAGTGGTGTATGTTACAATTGGTCACAGTAATAGTGACCTTGGTGCCAATACCGGGTGGTGGCTTGTCATCCTGTCTACAAAATTCAGACTGGGAATACACTGGGATGGGACAAGACCTTGAAACCGCCCCGGACCTGATTCGAAACCCACCCCGGACCACGTGGAACTCCACGTCGCGTTCCTTCACCCCCGGCACGTGCGTGTCCGTCGGTTTCTTCTTCGCCCAACAGGAGGAGTTCGACAGCATCATCCAAGACCCGGCCTGTGTCGCCTGGTTGAGCGCACCTTGGACTCAAGGGATGGATTCTGCGCATGAGCTCCATGTGGGCACAAAGAGGTGCTTTGGGTGTGGTCTTTTGCAGAGGCCAAGATTTGAAGGTGCTTTTTTGATATCAAAGATTTTGGTACATCGGAGTCACTGGTTTTTGATTCGACCTGAAATGACAAATCTCAAGCATTTGAGGAATAGCAATCTATACTTCAATCAACAGGCATTTGTTGGTTGTAACATGGTCTCTGGTCGAGAACGGGCGGTTGGCTCTAAACCCGTGATTCACTCCCACTCCCACCAAGAACCTTTACTGGAAGAGCCGAGATAGATAGGCGGTCTTTGGTGCGTCTTTCTGGACACACACACAGTGACACAGTACATTTCTTTGGTGGTTCATATGGTGTGGAAAAACTCCATGGCCTCCACACTCATTTGAGCTGGCTCCTAAGGCCATGGGCTTGGAAGCTTCTCTCATGTCCGGCAAGGCCAGTGTGCTGAGCTAACATCGGTGTGCGGAACTCATTTTGCCGTGTCTTCGTCAAAGGAAGCCGTTCCGAGACTTCTCGAGGTCTCTCTTCGTTCCTCTATCTCTCGCGGGGTCGTTGAAACTTTCAGACGTGCGCCTCGTTTCTGGCTTTCGTCTCTGGAGGACCTCTACAAGCTCCTCTGTGCGGAAGGCACCTCGGACCTCTCAGCCGTGGAGCTTTGCAACGGCGTGGCGTCGCTGAAGGGCAACGTCCGGACGCCCTGCTGGTGGGGTCGGTGACGCCAACGGTGGCCCAGCGCAGTTGAGCTGGAAATATTTGGAGTTGTTGTAGCTGGAAATACTGATGACTGCATGGAAAACGGCATTGAAAAAGTGCAGTTTTCCATCAGTTATGATATCCAGTTGTTTGTTCTTAGCATGTGTTCTCAAAAGAGTTACATCGTGTTCCATGTTGGTCATGCTAAGCTAGCCAGTTTCATGGAATTTGGGTGTCTAGGAGTGACTCACAGTGCTTCACCAGATGGCTCATGGGCAAACACTCTCAAGCCATGTCCAACGAAGTATCCTTGAATACCATTGGGTCGGAGTGACAGGGTCTTGAAGTTGGTATGGTTCTTTGATAGGTGGGTTTATTGCAGGTTTGAGTCAGCATCATTCAGCTTCTAAGATCTTTAAACGCAATCACATTGGCCCTTTCCATTCCTCCCACAAGCCAGCTCCAGCATGTGTGCCAATGACTGCAAGACATGCTGCACCAAGAGATAAAGATAAACACTCAGCATGCTGACACTTTTTGCTTAGGAGACATCAGAGACATCCCAAAGCACATAAGTAAACCTGCCCAAACACGGCAAGCATGTTCTTTGTGTTTTTTTCAAGACCACGGATGGTCGGGTCTCACCGACCGGGTTCGCGGAGGCCACCAGCTTAAATATGGCCTTGTTGCAGAAGGATCAACTGAAGATCAAGGACGGGCGAACATTTGGCCGTTTGTGGACTGAGCGTTTGGTGGCTGGCTAGGATGTTGCATTTGCCTTCGGCTAGGCTGGCTAGGTTGCTGGCTAGGATTTTTGCACGTGCGTCTCAAAGGCGAAGAAGACAGTACGACCGATGCCCTGGCGAATGATTTTGAGGAGTAGTGGTGAACCCTCTTGCCGTACCCAGTGGGCTATGGACGGAGACAATCTGATGAGACGGAGCCAAGCTACTGTCTCCAATTGCACAAAAACACATCAAACAGATCTTAAAAGTGTACTAACATGTATATATGGATCTATGAACAGGTTTGAACCGAGAGAATTGTTTTGCACTGATCCACTGGCTTGACCATCCATTGATACTAATCCTCCCAAACCCAATACGACCAACTCTTTTTTTCGCACGCTTTTCATCCTTGGTGAGGAGCTCATGGATGCGATGTGTATGTCCATGGTGAAGCTACAAGGTCGCTTGCAGTACTCTCACAAGAAGGATCAAGGAGGCGGGAAGAAGTCGACGTGAATTCAGGTTGAACTGAGGTTGCGAAGGTGGCTGACGTACTGAAACCAGACACTCGATGTATGCCATATTGAACCATTGGGACTTATTGGGACGGTTTCCGGAATTCAATGTAGGCATATTTGTCGTGGAGTGTCTGGGAAATGGAAGAGTATTAAATTATGTCTCCGGCTGCACCTCACCTTCCTGACATGCGCAGTCAGGCTTCAATGTGGCTAACGTGCCCGGGTCGAGCTGTCCCGTCCCTCCGCCTGTTCCTCCGCCTCCTCCGTCTCCGGGTCTAAAGACATAATAGATTTGTTCATTCAGCTCCCACCCACTTGTACTGCCCCTCTCGGACACCCTCACTCGTCCTCTCCGCTTGGCCAGGCGATTCCTCGTCGAGCGGCAGCGACTCCGACGACAGCTCCGACAGCTTCGGCGAGGAGGACGCCGACGCCCCGATCAGTACGACGCGCTCGGGGAAGCTGGTCACGCAAGCGTCCCAAGGCGCGAGGCTGGTGCTGAGAGCGGTTCGCGGCGGACGCGGAGGATGGAGGATGGTGGACGCTGTGTGGGCGGCGGATATCTTCTTTGAGGATTTTTTGGGTGAAATAGGGGGTGGCACGGAGGGAAGGGATGGCTATAGAGGATGTTGCTTTGTAAATGTGCCTTCGATAGCAAACAACTCAGGGACTGCTTGTAGTAGGAGGTCTTCTATAAAACTGCTTGTGGAAAGGACACAACGGAAAATGACAAGGACATCAAAGAGAACATGAAAAGGACATGAGGGGAACTCATTTGTTGAGTTAGTGACTTTTACTGCAAGGGGAAAGACACCTTTATAGGATTCAATTATTCCGCCCGCCCCCCCCTGAGTAATTCTTATTTCAATTCTCGGGTGACCATGCTGGGCCCTAAGATTTTATTTTTGCAATACTGGTGATATAGTTGAAACATGTTTTAAACAACATACTATATACATAAATAGCTGGATCAGCCTAGAGTTCAGAGATTTCCCAGTAACCAAGAGGTGATGTTTGATAACAGGAGTGGTGCGGTGGTTACTCAAATACAGCTAACGAAAACAAGACAACCAGAAAGAAGATCTGGGAGGAACATGGAGAAAACACGTTTTACATATTTTTATATACTCTTCCACCTCCACCTCCAAACAATTCTTTAGAATAGTTTGCAAACACGCAATATCCCATCTCCATTCACACACTGGTCCTTTGTGGAGAAAAGCACCGTGTGAGGATTTGAGAGTTTGAGGATGATGGTGGTTGGATTTTGGTGTGTCTTAGAATAGGGATACCTTCCAACCAATGTGTTGTTGTTTGCTGTGTTCTTTGTGTTTGGGCTTAAAGCTGAGGGTCTTCCTATTTCAGACACACCCATTTGGCCCTTTTTTTGGGGGACTGCCCCACGGGATGTTGAGCCTCCTTCCAGTGGCCAGCCTTTCCCATCATGCTATGCATGCTATATACGTACTTCATGAAATGATGTTCCATTTGGCCATCTACCAGGATCTAGCAGTATGTCTCTACTGCCTATAATCCACTTGCCAGTAATCTCTTCCACGGGGTCCAACGTGGACCCCCCCAAAAAGAAGCCTCCGAAGCCAAGTCCCGCTCCTGCCCGACACTGGTGCTCCAGACCCTGACGATCTCCCCCCTGGGTTATTAACATGAACACATCCAGTCTCCAGACATGGGCCGGCCTGTGCACTTGGGTGGTGGACGAAAAGTGAAAGACGTCCAATCCAAGTCCACCAAAAAAAGAGCATGTCTCCAGGCTTACAGATCGAGGTGTCAGAATCCGTACACGCAACCCGCCTCCCAATAATTAGTAATGACTCATAACTAACATTAACCAACTAAAAAAAATCATATATGCATCAGGGGTAGGAGCTCCTTTGAAGGGATACAATTCACTGGTTTTTCCCGCTCAATTGGATTTTCAATATGCAACGAAACTAAAGGAGGCCTTTGGAAGAAGGCCGCACAAAGAAACTTCCCACGTCGCTCCCGGAACTCTTAAAGTGCATCTTCACACCGCCAGGCGCAGAACGTCGCGGAAGCCTGAATGCCTGGATGCGCCAACGGGCGGCACATCGAGGTGCGGTGTTTTTAGACCATCGCCGGTGGGTGGCGGTGTGGCGATCAAGGGTTTCCCTCCTGAGCCAAAGGAATCAGATTTCTGAGTTTGAAGTTCTAGGGGATGCTTTTTGCGGGAGCCAGGGGAATTGACCCTATTGACTTCAGGGGGGGGTCATGCATGGGCATTTTTGGACGAAGTGTCGATGAACATGCATGGTAGAAGCGGCGGCTGCCTTCTTCTATGCAGTGCTCAAAGGTTCTTTTTGTGAGGCTTTGCACCTGGTTCTTCGTCGCCTGCTTCCTATGTGCCCCTCGTTGGTCAGGTCACTTAGGCCAAGGGATCACCTGAAAAGGCTCCAAAAGAGTCACTTTGAAGAAGCTGGTACCAGAATCATCCTTTCTGGTGTCCCATAGATTACCCGTTCCCCCGTTACGTAAATAGGTCTCCATAGGTATACGGTAATATACATTTGAAAAACCTGTCTCTCTTCCCATTTAAGGTGGTTGAAAATGGTTGAAACATCCCGTAGGCCAGGTTTTTGTTTCGACACAAAAGGCTCTATAGACCTTGGGATTTAGGAGGTATGATTCTGCAATCTGGGTATACTCAAGCCCATCTGCCAGTAGGGCGGTAGAGGTTCTGGGCACTCAACCCCCCCAAAAAACCGACTTCATGGACCCTGACTTCTACCCAGCCCAAAGCCTCCAGACCAAAGCCTCCGCAGGTGTTGCCACAAAGAGAGCCACTGCAGTGGGTGCTGCGACTTGGCGTACACAGTTGCAGACGGTGATCTCAACCTCTAAGGGGAGGCAAATTCTATTAGTTTTAATTTTAGATTTAATAGAATCAGGTGGGAGGTGGGGTGGAGGGCAGTTTTTGAATTGAGCTGCACATCATGTTCCGTCTTGGCAGCTGTTTGTCCTCCATGTGATTCCATACGTGTGATTTTTTGTACGCGCGCGCGCGTGCGCTCAAATGTTGGATTGTTCATTTTTTAGCCAATGGAAAGGAAGCAAGAAAGGACATGAAGTCAGTAAGCAAGGAAGCATGCAAGCATGGATGCAAAAAAAGATCAAAGAGACATAGAAGCAAGAGAAGAAAGGCTACCAATCGTCTCCAATCTTTTTGTCAGCCTAAGCAAAGCCTCAACACTGGTAGAAATAAAGAACAAACTTTTCAAGGAAAGCGGTAGGCACATGCAACTAAGCTAATTGCCTTGCTGACTGCTCCAAACCAACTCGTCGTTTTTCTTCTCCGCCTCCGCGGCCCCAAAGCCACAGAGTCAGAGTCGCACTCCCCAGGTGTCGCAAGCGCTCTTCAACAAGGAGAACGAGGTGAGGTACAAGTCGATTTGCTTCCTCTGGCCGCCAGAGACAAAGCAGAATCGGGCTAACCAAGCGTGGGAGGGCAACTTGAGAACGCGATAGACTCGAAAGAAACGGGTTCCAGATTGGGATGGCCCGAGGGCCATCCCCTGTCATGTTCCGGACTGAGACCACTTTCCATGCCCAGTGGTCTCATGATAGCTCATTGGTGACCGCTTGTACCCATCACGGATCTCCCAAAATGGGTTTGACTTGGCGACAGTGAACCACGCCCAAATCTGCGCAGGAGCTCATGCCAGAAGCGCGATGGGTCTCGGGGATGAGGTGCGATGGGTCGGGATCGACTCGGAGCTGGGAGCTGGGTCAAGAAATGTTTGGCCCAGGGTTAGCGTCCTTGCTACTAGTAACTAGTAGCGATGCACTTGTTATAGTAGTTTCTTATTACTAGTAGTAAGGCACTTGTTACTAGAAGCGATGCCCTTGTTGCTACGTCATGTTTAACCTGTCTTTTTCTTTACCACGGGCGTGTGTTTGCAGTTCAACTTGGAATCATCCTTCGCATGGAGATGCGGGTGATTCAAAGGGAGGTTATGTCATATTGGATCGTTAAGTTTGACTAGCGCAGCCACACGGCAATGGCACCACCCAAGCTACAGCAGATCGGCGAAACCAACACTCTGCAGGTTCTGTTGCCGCTGAGTCTGACGAACAACCAGCGTTCTGGAAGGGGGTGATGCACAACTTCAAGATGGGCATGCGAACTTTCCCCCTTTTCGAGTATAGTGTTTGTTCCCAGATGCCGGACGCTGGAGGACAATCCTAAGGAGACCTGCCCACCGAGAGGGGTTGTTTGCAGCGCTTGACCCAGCGAGAGAGAATCAACAGACTCTCATTCGAAGCACTCAAATACTCAAGTCTCAAATTACGACCTACTGTAGCTGGTTGTTAGGAGGGAGCGATCAACACCCTTTTTGGGCAAATTAGATATCACCAATGATGCAGTTCTTCCCCTTTCAACAGGGAGCCGGAATCCCTCAGCATCTTGGCTAGCCACTGCTTTGAAAGGAGAGGAGTACCTTAAGGACCCCCCTGTCTTGGTTCGAGTCGTTCTTGGTGGTCTTGGGACTGGTACTTCTTGTTCGCTGCTTTCGCGCCACCGTAGAGATCCACATCCCTTCAGTCCCTTATGACCTCCCCCCTTGGGGGCTTGCAGGAGTGAGAAACATCCGGAGCTCCATCAAAGGCACCTCCCGCCTCTCATGGCCTGTTCTTTTGGGCCTTTCTCACACCTTCGCCTTGAAGTCATCCAGTATACCTGAGGTTTTGGTAGGTGCGGCGATCCTGTACCTGATGCATATTACTGCCATATGTGTTGGTTTTCGCCAAGATAAGAAAACTGTGTCAGACCATCCTGTTTGGGTGTTCTGGCTGGCACTTCTACACTTCCTAGGGATCTCCAGACAGGACACCCAGACAGGATGGTTCAGGTATGTCTACATTCAAATGATCAGGAAAACTCGCTCTCGATCCGCCTCGATCCTCTACTTTCATGCTAGTTACAGATGTGCCCATCACCTGTCCCATCACCCATCACCCCGCACAAGCAACGATTCACTCTCCCTTCCCTTTCTGACCTGCGCGTCGGGCGCTTCGGATCGCCACGTGGCCTGGACACCGATCGCCAGGCTGCGCGCGCGACTGGCCAAGTTGGTCTTGAGTTTTCCCTTCGAGGTGGCCTTTGGCGCGTTGCTCCCTGACGCGAAGGGGTCGAGACAAAACGCGAAACAGAGATACCGTGGAATCATCGAGGCTCTTGGTTAATTACCCCTTCCTTCGAATTGACAAAACCGTTTCATAGGGGGGGTTATTCATCAAGAGTCTACATTAGTGAGACCCGCAGCCCTTTTTTGTAATATCGATTGTCTTTCTTCCCCATTGGTCCCTGTTCACACACCCGTGTGATCTCAGCGAGTTCCGTTTAAGTGGCGAAGCAAAAAGGACATTCATAGACAATCTTATGGTCCTACACCTAGTAGCACTTAAAGTACTTACATATTATATAGGAAGTGTATATAACTATTTGAGGAGGTAATGTTCTTGTACCAGGTCATATCAAACGACTATAGTTATACATGATCTTTTTCTCACAGAGAAACATACAACATGACTTTAAACAACTGAGTTTAGTAGGAGGTGGTCATGGAGAATGTATAAACCAACTCCTCCAGTTGCATCTGGTCTCGGAGACCGGACGATGCACGACGCCCCAAAGCCATGCACGATGCGCGATGGGCTTGCGCGATGGGCTGAGGATTTGTGCCAACACGTGCGTCATGGCCTTTCAGTCGGAGTATAGCGGCTTGAAGACCGGCTATGAACAAGGAGATCGCTGGCTTGGGGGGTTGGGCAGACCAGCTGTAGCTGTAGCACATGCTGAGCCCAAAAAAAAGTTTAGCGTTTGTCTTTGCTTTTTCTCTTTGGGCTTTTAGCTTTGGACAGCTCAGAAGATGGTTTTCGGGGTGGAAACACTGCCGGCCAGGTTGCATCAGTTGTTGGTGTAAAGGAATTGCATTGAAAGCGATAAGTGATGAACAAGTCAGGTTTGACGGATAAATTTGGTACCCACACCATGGTCTAGGACTTTTCCGGGTTTCGCGGTGCAGGACCTTGACTCTTCTAGTCCCCGAGTCAAAGGATAAACATGTCGCAGCTTCTTGAAACACATGCCATCCAGGACCTTCAAAGTGACCTCTTTGGAGTCTCTAAGTGACATTGTACAGACCTAAGTGACCTCATCCTGGTCCATACTATAAACAACTACTCTGTCATACTCATTGGGTCTGTCCATAGTAAACCTGTAACAGTCGGTAAACAGGCAAATGACTATACTTAGAGGCAATGGGCCAGCAACCAGGCCCCATCATCCACTGTTACTGCTTGTGGGATAGACCCAACATACTGCATATGATCTCATAATATGATCTCATATGAGTTCTCAAGAACGGATATGGACCGAACACATTGATGATCATCGATGTGAACAAGAATTGACATAAACCGATGTCTGAGACGTATTCTGACCACATCCCACAAAATCCCAAACGGTCCGGATGTTCCAACTCATCCCTGGTGTGTTTGTTGGGATGCTCCAAACTGCTTGAGGTGTCAATTTCAGACTGTAGCCTTGCAACATTTTGCAGTATTTGTACGATTTGTAGACTTGCAGCATTTTAAGAGTTCAGGGTCCTCCACTGAAGTCCAGTTGTACCAACTGTTGTTTACTCGGACAAGCAGGGCAAATACCTTGCACTACTACGCCCTTCACTCATGAACATGCCCGCGTGACATGAGATACAAGCCCTTGGTGCACAGGACCTGCATTTGGCCTCTCGGACAGGGTTTACTGGTGCTTGAGTGGGGAGGTCTGTTCAAGCAAGAGGTTGACGCGGTTGCGACCGATCAACCACCCAAGAAAGGTGACAATTGATCAAGAAAACACTAATGCTTGTGACTTTGGGGCGGTTTCATCCCCACGGGTCTCCTTCCACGAAGCCCAAGTGTGACATAGTACGTGCTGGCTCCAGAAGTGCCGAAGCAATGGATGTTGACCTATCTCTCTCTCTCTCTCTTTTTTGAACGTCGTGATATGTTGATCACACGAACGGCGAGTTTGTCCGGAGTGGCTTTGGAGAAACCATTCGACACGGGCGGTTTCCACCGTGAGAAACGAAGGACCGAACTGAAACAAGTGGACAACGGTCGATGGATGCCATCCGAAGCGTCACACGCCTCAGGCATTGACCGACCAGCAAATGAGATTTGGCCTGGTGCAGAGCTGGCCTTTGACATTTTGGAACCTTGGGTGCGAAATTTGTTTTGGTCACCGGCTTAAATACATGACAACCCTGCATGGACACTGTTATTCGCAGGCTTTAAGTGCTAGAACAAAGATGTATATATAATTAGCTTAAATTAACATATACTGAATTTATATATATAATATATCTATATATATATATATATGTATGACAGGGTGGCACAAGAATTGTCAACATATGAGCAACCGCCAAACCCTGCGACGACCAATTTGCGAGAGGCCCCTTTAAAAAGAGAGATAACCATGTCGCCGCAGTTTTTGGATACGCGAACTCTTTGAAGAAGAACAGCTGATGTGTACTAAGTACTCTTGGAATCTATCAACAAAGGTTTGCTTTGTAGCACATTTAGCTTGTTGTTTGTTCAAACGTATTGACAGGTGGCTGGGGTGTGGCTATATGTTTGAGCTCCTATAACACATGGAGGGCTGATGTGTCAAGGTTAGCGTAGGCTTTGAGATGCTCTTTGCTTAGGCGGTCCTAGTCTTCGCTTGTTTGTGAGAGCCAACGCACTTCATGAGGATTTTGATCGGCCAAGAACAGTCATAGGATACATAGGTCAAGCAGAGATCTATATATATGTTTTTTCCTTTTCTGTCCAATGACCCATTCAAACAAATGTCTTCTGAAACTATGCTCGACGCTTCGCTTCCCACAAGTGGCCTATCATAGCAAATGTTCTGGAGATTTCTAAAGTTTGCTTTAGGTGTTCCTTCAATTTGCTTCCGGCAGGTGTTCTTCCCCTACACCTTCAGACATCTCCTGAGAAGGTAGTTAGATGTAGTTAGACCCCCCGAAACTGACCCCCAAATACCTGCTTAGGAGGTGTCGCAACCCCCAGGCAATCTTTTTTTGCTGTGCCGGTTCCGCGGTTCAGTGGCTCCTTCGGCTTCGCTGGTGGTTCCCACGGCCACCGTGGGACGGTCCCACCGTAGAGGTTCGTCCAAAGAGGTTGGTGTTTGTTTGGTGCCGATGTTTGAGGAAAACTCCCTGGAATCATCATGGAAGTGAATGAACACCCAGCTTTTTGATCTTCGGAATTTCAGCGTCATCTTTTCGGGACGATGCCATTCACATAGCCTCAAGGGCGAGCCAATGTTGACTCTTGATGAATACCCCCCACATGATCCTTCATGAGCGTGGGAGGCAGAATAGGTTTGGGATGATCTTATTATATAATACATTCTATACCCAGTTTGATCGGACGTCCTTTTGCACTGGGTCCCCTCACATGCTGGCACGTTTTTTCAAGGTTTATTGAATCATGGGGGAAGATCCTTGACCCAGATGTTGATCGTGTTTCACTCATTTGTTCATTGAATTCGGGGGTGATGTAGTCATTGGACGGACTTTCGATGCCACTTGACTTTCGTCCCAAGCGTTAGGTCTTTGGTCGATGCTTTTGGGGGTGCCCTTCCAGATCAAACAATTGGTGCTCATCCAAAAACAAGGTGTTGGATAGATTCTTTCATCCACCTGCCATCCGAGGAGTATTTCTTTGGGATCTTATTCACTGTGGATCCTTGGCTGAACTTTGGTCGGTGCGCATGAACTGATGGTGTGCGCATGAAGACATCTGAAGACCGGGATTCGAGTGCGAAAGCCTCGTCTTACCACGTTGAAAGAGATTGAAACTAATCGATGGGACATTTGCATGAGGTGGGCAAGGTAAGAAAACTGTACCTGTACCCGTTCAGGTAGTCCCAGGTAAAACGGAACTTCTTGCTTAGTACGTAGTTCCCTTGTTCTGCGCATGTTGTAAGAGTTGGTTCCTTGGTCGTTGAAACAGGCATTCTCGAGGCAACAGTACTAGATCCTCAAGTACTCACGTTGAAAGATGACTGCCCTAGATCCTAAAATGAGTGACTTTGACTTGTTGGAAGCTGAAGCCAGTCCATCACAGTGGCCCCCAGAGAAGGAGAAAAGAGAAAACAAAACGCGCGCTTCGAGCTCTCATGAGAGTTCTAGCTGTTCGTTCTCTTCAATTCTCCCTGCAGAGAAACATGGAAGCAAGCCCCAAGATACAACAAGCCTTTTGCTGTTGCGCTTTCTTCGCTATAATCTGGTGGATTGGTTCGAAATAGGAAGGTTTGCGTTTTCTCCTTTTGGGTGCGAAGGTCACAAGAAAAGAATTGGCAGAGACAGGTTGTGACGTTCCCAGGTTGCTGGTAGGGGCTGCCACTGCCTAGTAACCTAGTGAATAATAATAGTAAATATAGTTGTTCTCTAGGTTACTAGGCAGAACTATTTGCTAATGAGGTTACTAGGTCATAAGGGGTGTCCCTTATGGGGATGCACTCTTTGGATCTTTATGTTTTGGTCTTCGGTTGCTCTGTGGAGAATCCACAGCAAGCAAGCTGTTAGTTGTCCGGACAAACCGACACCAATCCAGGCCATTGGCCGGGCTCGCTGGTTCCATCTGCAAAAACTGGTTCCATCAAAGCTCAAGTTCAAGCCACAGCACTTGTCCGAGCAGATGGACAGTGTTGTCGAGCAGATGTCTCCACGAGTGGATCTGGGTACATCACCATGTGTTTGGTGTCCAAAGGGTGTTTTAGGAGGTGGATAAACATGAGCTGAGCGAATTATATCAAACTTCAAAGACTAAGAATGAACGAAAGCAATTTGTTTGTATATTTTTCACTGCCACAGGTTGGGGACCTTGATTTGGTCATGTCAGAATCTGGCACTGCAGGGTATTTTTCGCCGTTTGTTGACTGGCGGATGTCTCAAGGTGTCCTGTACAGAGCATGCATGCACACGGTGTCCTCTTCGTGCCAGGAAATTGTCCTCAAGGTGGGCGTACTGTACCACCATTTCTTCAAGGCAGGGTTTGTCGGGTTTCATCCGACCCAACAAACACCCGAGAGTTTGATGTCCCGAACGCTTGAATTGGAAACATATTGATGTTGCATGAATCAACTAAGTTGATTGGACGGCAAGAACCGGGGAACCCAGGGCAGTTGACATGGATTCAAGGCGGGTTCCTTGGGTAGCACTATCGTCTGCCAGGTCCGCCAACAAGCACCCCCCCGCCCGCGATTGCTTCCTCGAATGGGAGGGTGTTGGAGGGCGCTTTCATGGCTTTCTGCGCTGCGAGGACCTTTGGAATCTGATGGACTTTGCAGTAGTGGCGGAGCTTCGGCCGCAGAATGTGATCCTGAATTTCTTTCCTGCGAGGCCAAGTGGCAAAACCTGACTCCTACTGGATTGGTGACAGAATGGGCGGGGAGAGGAATTGGATCCCCTTTGTTTGCGACAAACATCGGACTTCCTTCAACACATTTTGCAAATGCCGCTTGGTTGGCTATGCAGACAAGGAGTTTCTGTTCGAGCGGAACGTTTCGTTTATTCTGGGTGCTTTAAACTGAAGCACCTGCCTAGGAACGCAGGTGCCTTGTTGGTCCTCTTCGAGTAGACAGCCTTTAACATATAGATTGGGATATTCTTCTCACAATAGTCCGAAATTAGAATAACAACACCCGTAAATGATCTATTGCGAGTATTTGCGAGTATTCTGGTCAACAAGAATTATGGCCATCGGCAAACAATAAGGGTGTTTAAATTCAGTACTTTCAGGTGATTCTCCTGTTTCACATCTCAGATGTGACCTGGATGGCCAACTTAACTGGGCGATCTCTATAAGGGAGTTTTGGGCCGCTAGAGCCCACCACAGCCCGCCCCTGTGACGATCTCTTGGGTCCCTGCTTTTCATCCAACTCGGGCAGTGAAACACCGCTTCCGAGCGAATTCGCAGCCCTTATCGTGCGTTTTGGGGCGTGTGTTGGCACGGCGTTGTGGCTTCGGCTACTGTATAGGTGTATATAACCATTGGGTGGAGCCTCAAAGAGCCCGCCCCAATGGGAGCACCCCATTGATGGACTTGAAGGACTCCAAAAGAGGCTATAGCAGGCACGCGTCGTGCTGCCGCCCTTCCACTTGAAAGAGGCTAGCAGACCCAGGGACTCCGAGGACTCCACCAACGTCCACGACTCTTTGGAAGCCTTTTCGATGGCATGTCGCATGTGGCACGTCTCCAAAAGCATCAGGACGTCTCCAAAAGTTGGTGGTAGTACCACATAGTACCACTAGTCAAGCCGTTCTCCAGATGTCTCCAGTCCCATGTTCTCCAAGGGAACATCTGCAGTGAAACCATATCTGTGTTTGGGGGGATGATTTTACCCTATATTTTCCTACCGATGTTGCCCCCCCAAAACAAATACTCTCTTTAAACCACACAGAAGTCCCATGCCGAAACCCAAGGTCTGGTACCTGGAGACCTTGACGGGCTCGGACAACCTCCCCATCCATCCGATGATGCTTCGCCTGTTCCGGCTCGTGAAGCTCTCGCGTGTGGCACCTTGGTCGGACCTGGTTTTTTCCTTTTTCCCACGGGTCTGGGGTCTTCGGTCTTCGTTTTGTGCTGGTGCCGGAGAAGGTGTTCCTTTTTGCAGAAATCACTTAACATGAATGGACCAATGTATACCAGGATCATCCAATGGGTGTCCAATAGACTACCCTATCCTACTTACAGGTCTCCAGACATGGCACCCGGACAGGAAGTGTTAGGTATGTTCCATGTGTTTGTCTTTTGTTCACCCAGAATGGATGGTTGGGGGACATTTTGGGATGTGACCCCTGTAGGTGTCAACATCTCGGTCTTGCCGGCTTGTCAACATCTTGGGGCTTCCATCATCGGTGAGAGGTGCGAACCCAACCGATCGCACGTCGAGTCGACAGTCGAGCCTCTTCAAAGGGCGATCAAGTGCCGTTTGGCTGGAGGATTCCCTAAACCCCCGGGTGCTGTGCACTCTCAGACCGCTTGGATTCGTACTGGATCCGTAGGGGAACAGTCCAGTCTGATCTTGAAGGGATGCCGATGCGGCGTTTCGATCCAAGCAGCGTCCGGTTGGGAGCCACCCAGAAATATGTTGGACGTCCTGAAGCACTCTATTCACCATTAGAAAGTGAGGTCAAACTGCGACCGCAAGTTTTGAGTGTTTTGCTCCACTACGAGCACCAGGCTCATGATATGATAAACCAAGAATCCCATGACACGTATCAAAGCAGAAGATAATAAGCTACTAGGAGCTCTGAGCTTTGTGAAGTGTACTGGAGGAATTGGCATCAACTGAGGTTCGTTTGGTGCGTATCTTGGAAAAGTACGACGCCTTGTATTTGTGCCTCGGGCGGCTTAAAGAAAGACACCACCAGCCTAAGCTAAAGTGGAACAGAACATGACCTTCCGTCGTGGTTCCAAGTCACAAATTCAACATAAAGACATTCATTACTGTACGTAGATGCCAGTAGGGGAAGCTTGACGATCTTGGAGGAAGGTGTCAGGAAGATCCACAGTTGAACTGGTGATAATTTCTTGACCACAGGGTCTTTGGAACCATCTTTTGGCGGAGTTGTATGTTGTGGCCCTGGTGGCCGGGATCCGAAGATGAAACATACCTGAAGGTTCCTTGGACTTGAGAATGAGTTTTTGTGATGATGACACAAGTGTGGCTTTTTCCAAAGCTATATCATGCACAGGCTCACATACGGCTCAAGACAAAGGACCTGGGACGTCTTGAGAACGTTCGTCCGGAGCAGGTTTTTTTCCCCCTTTTCTCGACCTCTTAGGGCCCAAGCTGGACCATCCACTCTGAGTGTCCTGTCTCCCTTCACTCCCCCAGAGGACCATCCCCGTCGGGACCCACTCACCGGTGACACGAACACCGCCGACGGAGGATGATCGCGTCGATCCGGGGCTCCGTGGCGGCCCTGGCGTGGTCCACGATTTTGCTCGTCGTGGCGCCTCGGCGAAGCCGAGAGGCCAAAGGGGTGGGCGTTCGGATGCCGTGGTGGGGCGTAGCCGTTTCGCAACGTGGTGTGATGTGGGTGCGCAGTGGTGTGGGATCGTGGTGTCTTTTTTCGTGTTTGGGGGTGCGGCCACTGGTTTTGGGTGGGTTGGGTAGGTGGTCCATCATCTCTCCTCATCCCCCGCCCCCCCAAAACTAACACAATGAATTCAAGGAAGGTAACAGAGAATTAATGAGTATCCTTTAAGAGGAGGAGGAACCAAAGTATGGTCTTTGGAGTTTACTTGGTCGTCTTTCTAAGTGCATGTCTTCAATCCTGCGGAGACCAGTCGAAGCCTCCCTTTGGCTGCTGGTTTGCACTGGCAGTGCTCTTGGAAGAAAACGTGTGAAAACATATGCTGTAGAAACACCCAGACACGACTAATGGGACTGCCATAGGACTGCCGCCCCATTGACCCCCAGTCAACCACCCCTGGCCGTTTCTCGGCAGTCCTACGGCAATCCCATGGGTCGTGTCTAGAGTGACCACTCCCTTGCTCCACTCCCTTGCAATGACCACTCCTGGCCACTCCAAGGTGCAGATGATGCTTGCGCTCTTTATGACCACCATCCTGGAGGCCGACCGTCATGTCTTGCAGACCATAAAAGAAACAATATTGGGTCCCAATCCCATCCCAAGTTCATTTGCAAGGGATTGATTCCCCTCATCCAAATCCTCATGATTTCTGAGATGTTCATCTAATATCATCAAGTTCAGATTGTGAGATCTTCCATCATCCAAATCATCGTTTAGACCATGACCATCTAACATTAGGCTGGTCAGGTATCGAAGAGCGGAATCGAACGCCACCAGGAGAAACTGCTTATTGTCAGTCCACCGCCCCAAAAGAAGCCGGTAGACCGTACGTGGTCTGAAACGCAAGGAGCTGCACAGAATGTTGTGATGCTGTTCGCTGCACCCAAGGACATACTGTACATGTAAGGAGCTTTTGGTGGAAAGGAAATAGGATATATGTAGGCGATATGCCAAATCTGGACATACCCTTTTAAACATGGAGATAAAACACATGTGAACATTCTGTCAGTGGGTGAAGAAGAGCTTGTCCATCAACGGTGGCCAATGCTTCAAACAGACTGGATGTGGTCAGATGGTGGGCGACGGCAATCATTCAAGAGTGGAGTACACTCTGACTATCTCTGACTCAGTAACATGGAAGTGGATGGCATGGTTTAGCTGGAAAACGACTTTCCTTTACAAACTAAGGGGTGCCATCCACTTCCATGTGATGTGTTCTTCGTGAACTTTCAGCTCCAAGGGCGGTCAACCCGAAGTATACGCCGGCTCCTCCATGGGTATTCACGGTCAAAGTTGACATCAAGCCGCGTAGAAGCCCAAAGCGTAGAAGCCACGTAAAAGACACGTCCTGATGTTTATGTCAGGACTATGTCTATTTTTCTCCGCCTCCAAACATCGCCCTGACACGTCTGACACGTCTGACACGTCCAAGACACGTGGACCAGCCGAGTCTGAAACACTGTGCGACAGCAGAACGTGGAGTTGCAGGATGTTTTCTCACATTGCCTTGGGCGTTGGGTGTTTCTCAACCCCCCCAAAATTGCTTTATGTCCTGTGTTGTTTCTTTGTCAATCTGATTGTTTTTTTTGTATGTTGTTTGGCCCCTTCGTAGTAACACGCAGGCATACTGTAGCCCATGGTAGCCTATGGCTTGGGGTTTGCTTGCAAGCTTTGTCGGATTTCCACGAGTCAGCTTTGATGATTCAACAGGAAATACCACCGATCAATGCTTTGGACATGGCATGCGGCACAAACCACCCTAAACCACCCACATCCGGTGTGGTTTGTTTGCAGACATTTCTGTCAACCCAATGTCAACCCAGCCCTGGCCAAATGTCGAGTCAAAGAGTCTGTCGGATCTGGTGTAAAGTCACGTGGTTCAATCGTCACCTAGCTGTTTCATCCCAACAATCTGGCCCTTCATGCCGAAGTATATCGTCGAACAAAGACACACATCCTCGCCCTTGTGCAAGAACTGTCCATTGTGTGCAGATGGAAGAGAATGCACCCCTGATTTCAACCTTGCACTCATGGGAGGTGATCAATGATCTGGAGGTTGCCATCGAAGTTGCCGATCCGTGGCGGGTGTTATATCCGGAAGCCAGAACTCTGGTGGCAGCAGAGTCCTTCCAGCTGCGCCTAAGGGAAGATAACACCATCACGGTGACCGCACGGGACTGTGAGTTCGATCAGACTGAACTGAAGGTGATGGTCTCTGAAGTGAATGTGGACTTCTGCCGAAAGGTGGGAGACTGGCTGAAGCAGGAGCAACAAGCCATTCGAGAGGAGGAGAAGCAAGTGAAGCGCAGAGAAAGAGAACTTGAGGAGAGGACCAGATCCGAGGAATGTCGAATACGGATACATTCCAAGTTGAGTTTTTCGTTTATGCTGCTGGGTTGGTTGGTGTGGGAACTACATGCGTTGAGCTTTTCTGATGCACTCAGCCTCATGGCCCGGATTCTTTGCCCAGCATTGCTTTTTTTTCTGCTTGGCATGGGCATTGCCCAACACTAAGAGATGCCAACTGCTTTTGCTTTTGCTGGCCTGCGCCTGGGCATTGGGATGCTTCATCGTGGTTAGAGGACTCGGCCCTTTCATGGGGATTTGGGCACGCCACCTGTACCTGGCCGATGGCTATGATCGTCGCGAAGATCACGAGAAGGCCAAATTCCATGCGCGGGAGGCGACCATCCTGTTTGAAGGAAAGGTCATCGAGAAGTTGCTTTGCATCGCTTAAATTGAGAGTTTTCTGTTGTTGCTGCACTCATTTATTAATCTATTTGTATAAGGATGTATTTGTATAAAATTCAGATATTAGATAAGATTTGACAAGGTTTACGTTGGTGAGAAGAGCCAAAGCGAACGACACCTGGCATTGATCAATCATTTCATTCCTCAATTTGTTTGATAGTTGTCTTCATTGCTCTTCCAAAGCATGAAACCCTCCACGGCCAATCAACAACTTGCCATTTTGTCGAGGCCTGGCACAGCCTGTATTGCCTCCTGGCCTGGTCTCTACGCAACTGCCTGGCATTACTTGGCAAGACGTGCTCAAGGTGCCCAAACAAGTGCAGCCGTGGTCTTTATGGCTGAGGGTACCCAGCTCTATGGGAAGCACTGCCCGATACCTGAGGAGGAGGAGTTGCATGGAGCCTGTTGGTGCTTTCCACTGTATGGGGAGGAGAAGGAATGGGGCTGCAAGTGGTGGGAAGTATGGATTCAGAATGTCCACATGGCCATGGCATGTGGCGCTGTCCTCCATGTCTACTTCTGGGAGGGGCTTTGTGCGAAAGGAAAGGCTGCAAGTTTTGCCACTGTCGGACAAGAAAACTTTGCCGGAGAGAGTGTGAGAAACAAGATCAAGGACTTTGAGAACAGCAAAGAGTTTGAGGATGCGAGGCAAGCTGGTATTTTGAGGCTTTCCGACAAGAAGAGGTATGATGGCTCATCCCAACAGAGTCGTGAGAAACAGCGTTTATTCCGGCAATGGCTGCCACCGCAGGAGCGCAGGGTTTTGGAGAAGGCAGAAGGACTGGGAGATTCCCAGAGAGCTGAGGTAGCCTGGCTTGACAGAAAGGGATACCCGTACATAGAGATGGATGTGTCCCCGTTTCTGAAGCCAGCTGATTCTGAAGCGCGCGAGGTGCAAGCTTTGTTACGAACCTTTGGTCGGTCTACCTGAATGGGTTTGTTTCACACGCATTTTCTGAGAGCTCGGATTGAACGTGGCATGCGGCCGAAAGTTTAGACCAAAGTGTCGGATAGGATGTCTCGAGCAAATCATTCGCAAGACTTGACGAGTTCTTGTTTCCACATTGCTTGGCAAGCAAATGCAGGGGTTTCACGTAGGTGCTGCTATTTCCACAGACTGACCTTGGATACAGGAACTTTTATAGTTAATATAGTTACACCACATTTCGACAGATGTTCAGAAGTGTTTGTATTGCCAATGGGCGAACATGGTTTGAGTTATGAGACCTCATACTTGGTTGCTGGGTGATTCTGTTAGTGAAAAAGCAACCTTTTCGGTGCTTTGAGCTTGAAGTCTTCATCTTTCCAAGTTGCCTTGAGGAGTTATATAAGGATAGAGGATCATGTGTGCCCTGTGGATTCACAGCAGGAGGGGACCTGGATAGCCACAGGCCATCCACACTAGGAATGGCCAATAAAAGCACCGGAAGAACTTGTTCACTCGTTTGCTGTACTATGATACACTTTGGGGGTGTCCTAGTACCTGTACAGTCGGTAAACAATTATCACATAGTATCACTATTTTAGAGAAAGGCCTTTACTAACCATCAGCATCCACTGTTCCAGGGAATATGATACACTCAAGATATACTGTATACTCCAAATCCCGACCTCAGAACACACAAATTCACACCAGGCCAGGGGGGGAACTGGCTTTGGAGAAAACAACACGGCATCCGTGAAACGAAAAACTCCTCCAGATTCGGACCCTTCGGACCACTCCGGAACCTTCCGCCGTTGCTTCGGTGTCTCATCCCTCTCAGGGCTACCTCTTGAACGAGAACTCCACCGGCGACAAGATGGAGGCCTCGCTCTACCGGGCCCGTCAGACGGGCCCCGGCGAGGGCCGTACCGGGCGCCGTACCGGGCCAAGTGGATCAATGTGAGAGAGTGGAGTGGGCCACGTTGAGTAGCTTGCTTATAGTAATGGCCTCCAACCTACTAGCGATGGCCTCCAATCTAGTAGTTTCTTGGACCGATAATTCATTTGAGAATTTAAGGTGTTGATTCTGCGGATTCTGGAGTAATTTCCGCACAGTAATTCCAACGCCACATGTTTAATTACATGTGCAATGAATGAATGGCAATGATACATATATTAAAATATATATACATATATTACAGTGTTAATATATTGTTATTAATGTTTGTATATATACATAGCATATATACATATATATGTTATAATGTGATTATTTATGTCCAGGAGGACTCCCATGGGTAGGCCAACATTGGCAGATGGACAATTCCCTTTCAATTTGTGGGTTCACCTCAAAGTCGGGGGTTGACCTTATACCTAGGACGGTGTTGCGCCAACAGAGGGTGAGTGCCAAGAGGATGGGGTTCATTTCCAGGGTTGGAAACAGGTATGGAGCACAGTGAATTCTAGAGGATGAACGGTACAGCTGAAGAATCATGGGCAAAATACATCAGATAGTTGTGGGTTTAGGGGGCCAATGGACATAGGAAGCCGCAGTAAAACCAAGTATCAGGAACTCACCAAATAACCATGTTTGGATGGAGGATCAACTAGGCTCGACAATCCTTGAAGGCAGAAGAGGACAGTTGACCTTGAAGTTCCGTCCAAGTGCTGTAAACGCCGTTTGATTCCCATTCGTGCAATGCGCGTTTGCCTACGTCACTAGTGGCACCAAAGCATCACAACCCCACGCAGCTGGGTAACCTTGGCCAAGTCCATCAGAGAGAGAGAGAGAGAGAACACTTGAGGATGACCAGAGAATGGAGAGTATATCCAAATCATGATGCGGATTATTGTTTCGTTTGAATCATGCCCACAATGCTTGAGTCGCCAGGTCTATGAGTATTACGGGACCTTCTCTCGGTCCTTCCTCACGCTGCTTGGCCGTGCTCGCTTTGAGGGACAGACTTTCGTCCAGGCCTGCTTGGCCGCTGTGTAGGGACCGACTTTTGTCCGTGTCCAAACCAGTATACACAGCTTTGAAGGCCAAATCAGGATGCCGGGCTGCTTGAGCTTCTTTTTTTTTCCGAAGACAGTCCCACCAAACCTGTAGGTACCAAACCCGGCGTTTCTGACGTTTGTCCCAAACATCTCCAAACATGTGTTTTTTTTTTTTTTTTTTTCGAAACTGCTGATGAGCTATCCTCTTCTACAGTCCCATAGCTTATGGTCAGGAGACTAGCCGTGGGTGGCCAGGTCTCCATCCATCCCTGGTGCTATTCCCTCAGCCGCTCGCGAGCTCGCCGTGTGGGAACGCCGTATGGGACCGAGGATGTTCGAGATCACGCTGGCGAACTTCATCCCGGTGGGAACCCGGTCTTTGGTTTGGTGGGTCAAACTGGCCTTTGGGCCAGGCAAGAATGAAAGACATGTACAATGGATATATATATATATTATATGGATTATATGAGTCATGTATGTGATTGAGTAGGGATGAACGATGATAGGGCTCTTGCGATGAAATCTGCTGCTGCAGTCAAACGATCATGGGACACTTGCAGCATTGGTGGAGGTTGTTTTGGCGGCAGACTCGGTGGATTATGTGATTTTCTCGATGGTGTGCAGTCGGGGCAGACTATACCCGACGCGCAGTTGGGTAAAAACTCCAGGTAAGCATCACAGTGGCAGACCTCGCCCAGGTTTGCTTTAACGGTTTTTGCACAGTTTGCTACCTATCCAACAAGCAAAGTAGCCCAAAAGGTCGACTTCCAGAAAGCTCGAGCTGTGAAGGACGAACTTGGACTGAACAGTCGTAGTAGCTTAGTGGGCCTGTGCTGGATCCGTGTTTTGAAGCTGCTCGTGCAGGGGCATCGCGCGAAAACAGCTGGTGTTTATTGTAGTGTTTTGTTGTCTAGTCAGTCAATATGGCTGGGGTGGCTGTGGGTCATGGCACCAGCATGCCTGGGTTGACCTATCTGGAAGGTCGTTCGCTACATGGTGGACTGGGGCTTCAGATTTTGACCCATCCCCATAAAGTAAGTCAATGTCTTGGCCGCTAGGTGACCAGAAGCATGATCGACAATGTCAGTCAGGCGATCTTCCGCAAGGGACCATGGGCGGCTACCGGCGGCTACTTCTGCTTTGATGATAGATTCAGGGTTTATTAGGTTGGAGGCCACCGCTACTAGGTGATTCAGCAACTGGCCGGCTGTGCCCCCCTAACTGACTCGAGTCCTCGTGCTCAGTCAAGAAAAGTAAGGGAAAAAATGGGAATGGATCCTGTAAAGTATCTCTTGTGGGGAGAGCCATCCTCATTCTCTACAAGACACCAGGCAGTTTTTCGTCTACAAGCATACAAGTTCACAACGACGCTGTGTGAGACTTGGCCAGACTGGCGTCTTCAGAGACTTGGAATGATGGCCCTTGGCGACCCAAACCTGCAGGTCTACTTCCTTTTTGCCATGGTGCACAAGTTCTTCATAGGCCCGGCAAACGACTGACGTGCTTCGACTGACGCGCCCGGCAAACGCGACGAGTCTAGGTCTTGTGGTGACAACACCGTGTCTGGGAACTAGCAGCTTCCGAGTCCGACTCTTGGGTCCTTGGAGTCCTTGGGTGTCCTTGGATATCAGAAGCACCTCAGCTGCGTAAGCGAAGAGCACTCTTTGGATTGTTTTGTTGTTGCTCACACCCAATTTGAGGGCTTCGTGGGGTGAAAACCGTATCGACAGCACCCATGGCAAGTGAATACGCGGGACCCATAGCACCAGGTTGAAATCGTGGAAGCACTCTTCTTATGACGTTCTTTAGCGGCTGGCTTTTGGAAAAACACGAAGAATAACAGCAACAGCAACAACAACAAGAACAGCAGGTCACTTAAAGGACATTGGAGATTACGCATGTTTGTTTCATTTGAGCATGGGTATATATGAGTCATTTGTGGCATATCACCAGATTTCATGCTAAAAAAGTCAGAATTATATACCCACACTGTGACACATCCGTGTGAACCTGCCAACAATCACCTGTAGCTACACGATGTTGTGCACAGATAGTGTAAAAGAAGGCTGTCCTTTGCGAACTTTTTCTTAGGTTGGAGGCCATCGCTAGTAGGATGGAGGCCATTGCTACTAGCTTGGAACCCATTCATTCGGTGTCATACAGCTGCTCGGTCTAGACCGCTACTCGGTCGGCTCTACAGGGTCGGCTCACCACTCAAGGCCAAAAAAAGATCCACCTGTATGCGTAGCCATAAGGGCCGGGGGTAGAGTCTAAATTCAGAGGAACTTGTTTTTTGTTTGCTTAACGCAATCACAAAAACATGGAGCATGAGCTGTTTGTGTTTCTGCAGATCTTGTAGAAGAATCCGACACTTCCCACCTCATCAACCTGAAACCTTCCCCTTTTTTGCGGCCTTGATCGACAGGCCTTGCGGTGGTCTTGGTGATCACAGGCGTTTTCATCCAGGACTCGACCGGATGTGTTAGTGGGTTGGTGGATTCTCCTATGGTTTGATGGTGTTTTGAGCGTTTTCTTAATGTATATAGTTGCTATTCAACATGGGCCGAACACAAAAGCCCTTTTTCACAGTCCCTGCGCCTTGGTCAAGTAGCTTCCAGAGCTGGAAGTGGGGGGGAGGTCCCTGCTCACGAGTTAGTATGGCATGATCTTTGGATCGAAATTAGAACTGCACACGTGCATGGACCCTGAATTTGCGAGGACTTATATAAGTGCATTTGCCAGGTCACATAGTTAGAGCTCCAGGTCAACATCCGCAAACCAGACATCCTCAGATGCTGGGAGGAGACCATGAAAGTGGCCGCCACCGACAACAACATTATGTTGCCACTTGGAAGATCTAGATCTGCGGAGCACAGCGGAGCGGATTTGCATGGTCAGAAGATGAGCACAGCGGAGGTGATCGGCCAAGGCGAAGGCCTGAGGTTTTTGGCGGATCCAGGGTAGATCCGAGACGAGCTGGAGGCTTATCACCACGCTTTTTCAGCTCGTTGGATCCAAGTTTGAGGTACTCAATTAGATCCTAGTGTTCAGTGGGATTCAGTAAGTGAACAAAGATGAACGTGTAGATAGGATAAGGTCAACAGAGACACCCCAATTTTGGCTACTGGACAACTGATGAGTGCCCAGGACCGGGACGCCTTAAGGAAACCCAAGGGGGCTATGTTTGGGCTATGTTTGCCGGGCTGCCTTGTGTGACCTGAGGATATCCTCGCAAAGACCAACGAATTGAAGTGAAGAACTGACCTGGCGGACGACTTTCCACTGGACTCGGATGTCATCCAAGTCAAGGGACCCTTCCTGCTGGGACACCCAACCGAGGCAGCAGCGAGCGAGGTCTAATCGGCTGCATACGAGGCCTGTGGAGCACCGTGGGGAAAGACGGTGAAGCAGCGAGAAACGAACTGCGCTGGCGACGCAGCATCCGGGCCTCCCAACTTCGCAGCGTGGCCGCGTGGCCAAGACCTCCAACCCGGGGGGGGTGCTCTAAGCATCCCGAGAACTCCCCGACAGAAGCACCTTTTGTCAGATGTGCGGTGTGGATTGTCCTTTTGATGTTCCGCGTGAGGAAGATCAAAGCCCTTTTCGAGCTTATCGATGCAGACGGCAGTGGGCAAATCTCCTCGGAGGACTGATGGCGATTGCCAGGGGTCTGTCTTTTGGTTTCAGATATGTTGAGTAATTAGTGGGTTGGGGAGTTGGGGGGGTTCTGGGTTTTGTTGACAGAGACAGGTCTTACCAGCTTGGTGATGGTCTTGTTGAAGAAGCCGATTCTTGAAGGAATATTGGAGGTTGACATGGCCGAAGTTTGCACACCCAATCCCCTGGTTCGTGGGAAGAGGTTGCTTGATGTTCCCTCCTCTTTGGCCTGGTTCGTGCCCCTGGTTTAGAAGAGCGATGACCTTTACTTTAGACCACCAACCACCCAAAGTGTCGACCGTTTCTGGT